TAGAACAGCAGAGCATGAAGCCACTAGATACACTCCAGCAAAGTTGATGTTTGGTCGAGAACTTTGGATGCCAGTGGACCTGATAATAGGATGCCCACCTTACGAAGAGTTGCCTGAAAATGTGCCAGAGTTCGTGAAAGTGTTATCTGAAAGGATAGATGATATTCACCATCAAGTGCTTTCAAACTTGAAAACGTCTGCTGATTCCATGAAGCTATGTATTGATAAGAGATCTACTGAAGTCAGCTTTGTACCAGGAGACAAGGTGTGGTTGTGTAATCCCAGGAAGACCTACGGGAAGTCTCCTAAGTTGTCTTCTCCATGGAAAGGCCCATATGACATAGTAGGTCGTCTCTCAAACGTGACTTTTCGAATAAAATTTGGTCGGCGAGGAAAGCCAAAGGTGGTGCATGCCAACAGGCTTTGGCATTATCAAGGTCCAGGTCATTTCTGTTGTAATGAAGTGAACAATGGAACAAATGACGCTGCTGAAAACGTGTCACGTGAAAAAGCCACTGTCGAAGATGAAACTCTAGCCGGTCTTGAGAAGGAAAACAGTGAAGCCGTTAATGAAGTTACTACCACTAATGTGAGTGCAACCGATAATGGGACATTTTCTGATGGAGCAGAATGTAGTATATAATCCTGGCAGAGAAAGCCTGCGGGATGAATGAAGAGAGTTCCGGGTAATTACGATTCTGTTTCGAGCTAGTGTGTGTTTTGTTATGGAGATTGTGAATCGCTGTTATTTATCGCGTGTATTATAAAAGTTTTAAGTTTAAAGCCACGAAAAATTACTGACTGTGGAAATTCTGTGTACTACAAAGTTTGTATCAAGAAATGATAAACTGATTTAATCTAGAAAGGACTTGTATCGCTGAAGTTCTTCGGATAGAAATTCTGCTAGAAATTAACAAACAAGCAGAACGTAACAATAAGTTATAGCTTGTCTGCCGCCTAATATTTTGGTTTTGTAAGATGAAATGATTTTTAATGAAGACAAATAAATTTTTGTGATGGTCCATTTCTTGAAATTACTAAATATATACTTTCGGATTCCAGAAGTTATCATGTGATTATCAATACTTGTTGTTAATTCAGAATTCGAGCTAGATGATTTAATTTATGAGAGAAAGAAGACGGTAATCATTGAATTATGTACGATATGTTCTGATTTTAGTTTCATTACATCAGTTAGTGTTTAGTTTTATGTTAGTATATGTAAATTGTTAGTACAGTAATATAGCCCGTACGTATGGGGGTGGCGTGTCACCAGAATAATTTCTAAATATTAAAAAAATATGCAATGTACAACATATAATTGAACATTATTATTATTACTACTGTATTTTAAAGCCAAAGAAGTGTTATGGATGGTAGCATTACATTTGGCTGGGCTAACTTCTTAGGTTGACTATTTATGCAGGTCTCGTGATCGGAAAAAAAGGCAATATACAGTTACGTATTGATTATATTATTAATTGTTTTAGCATGTTTTAAATGGTAACATTTAAAAATAATTAGATATATATACATATATATGTATTATAATTACTTAAACTTACACATTATATTAATTGCTTAAATATATTGTTTTTGCCAATAGGTAAAGTATAATCTATGTGTGTTATCTACCTCTAGGTTGCATTTATATATGGTATTATGAGTATAATTGATGATGCATTGATATAACCATCAGTTCCCTTAACAACCATAATCACCTCAATCAGATCCCCACTAACTCGTCTTTTTTTCAAGAGGAAATAAGTTAAGAGATACTAACTTTTCTTCATAAGATAACATTTACATCCCAGGAATCATCCTAGTAGCCATCCTCTGAACCCTTCCAATAATTCAATGGCCTTTTAAGGTAAGGAGCCCAATACTGAAAACAATATTCCATATATGTCTGAATGAATGACCTATACAATGACATTATAACCTGTTTAAACTTGTATTCAATATTTCTTTAGATACAACTTAAAGTCCTATTTACCATGCTACTAGCAGCAGCATATTGTTTGGATGGCTTAGAGACTAATCAAGCAGATTGATATTCCACATGAATTACCTTGTATTTTTTAGAGTTAAAAGCCATCTATCATTTATTCACCCAGCTTTCCAAATAATTCAAATCCTTTGGAAAGGCAATAGCACCTAAAAATTCAATGTCATCAGCAAACTTAGATAATCTATTGGCCATTCCTTCATATACATCAGTGATGTAAAGTAAAAAGAGCAAAGGTCTTAACACTGAGCCCTGAGGTACCCCACTCATAACATTAATCCAGTTTAACTGAACTGGATTAATATTTCTTCCATCTAGGAATAGTGTTCTAAACATTGTTAATAGCATGTTAAGACAGACTCTATAAAAACGTCAAGAGCAATTTAATAACTTACTGTCAGTTTTTGTGTTAGCCCTGATTAGTGAAACGTAGGTTGGAATAAAATACTTTTTTTTTTAATTATCTGAAGGTAAAGATAATTTTTTTCTAACTTTATTTCATTATGTAGTCTTATTATGAAATAGAATTATAGGAAATATCTTTACTGTTAGGTTTAATGACCCACTTTTTAGAAAATAAAAGTTTGGAGACATCTTTACTGTGTAATGAAGAAAACTTTATTATAAATGTACAATGTTTTGACAAGATTATGTCATGTGCCTGAGGATGATAATCTTGTTGAAACATCATACATGTGTATTTACTGTAAGATAGCTTATTTTCTCACTCTCACTGGGCTGGAGTAACTGTTACACTAACTGTAATTAATTGCTGGCCCAAGACAGGTTCTGACCATAATTTCTGTAAATTCTAATCTTCAAAAGTAGGAGTAGAGTAGAGACAGATACGACTGACTTAAAGTATTGTAATTTCCAAAGAAAGCAAACAAACAGAGCTAAAAATAATTTAAGAAATAATGTATGTAATTGAATTAATTCTATAAAATGGACTAGTAGTATGTAAATAGTAATGTTATAAAATAATTTGTGAAAGAGAAAAATGTTATATTGTTATTAGTTACAATGTTTAGGCACTTGTGCTATTGTTATTTTCAGTCAGAATTTTCAAATTACAATTAATTAAAGGAGATTCACAAAACATCTAATAACTGTGGAACACCAAAATCATTTTAGTTTTTAGAAGTAACAAATATATATATATATATATATATATATTTATGTGTGTGTGTGTGTGTGTCTGTGTATATGACTTGTCTGTTCTTTTAAAATGATAGGATTGATTGTATATTAGATTAACAAGATCTGTTGATATTGAGGATTGAATGATAAAGCTTACATAAAGAATGGGAAATCATTCATTAGATCAAGCCATTTTTAGCTTATTTCTTGTACACTGTAAATATGTGATTGATAAGCATTTTAAGGGAAAAATTCACTTGGAAGTATATAGGATTAGGATGGGAAACAAAAAATTAGGGTTAAACACTGTTAAGAATTATTAGATTTAGCCTGTAATAAAACAGGACACTTTGGGGAGTAATGTTTGTATAAATTAAATGTGATTTGAGAGAAGAAGTAGAAACTTAAACAGTTAAAAAACATAAATACAAAAAAAGGCCAGGTGGCCAATTGAGATCATAGTACTTAAGCTGATTTATTTTCCTTTTATAAACTTAATTTTAAAAGCTTTGAATAAATTTATCTTAACAGCACAAGCTACCTTCTCTGGTGAATCTTTACACAGGGCAGTCATAAAAAATAACTAATGCCACCTACTGTGGTAAATCATTCAGCCATATGAAAGGAGTGCCACATATTCTGGAAAATCATTCCACACAACAGTTATAGGAGAGAAATTAAGAACTTCAAGTGTAAACCTACATTATCCCTGCAAACTCGTAACTGTAAACATTATAAGTTCTACATATTACCTCATTTTCCCCAAAACAAAGCTTAGAAAAAGGTATCAGTTTAACTGCTTTAGATTTTTTTGCTTGGTATGATAAAGATGATATTGACTTTGTATAAATCTGGAAATGGGCTGTTTAAATGTTGAACAACAACTTTAGTAAGTTACATTATTTTAGCTTGGTATGATAAAGATGATATTGACTTTGTATAAATCTGGAAATGGGCTGTTTA